GGGGATGACTTCTTGGTGTGAGTTGTGAGAGCCATTGTGATGGCATTTTGAGCTTCAAGAAGATACCATTGTTGATAAAGGACCAAGCTTGCAAGGCAAATTCGTGGCCTTGTGAAGTCAGTGTTGTGTGACTGGTTGGTGAGCTCCAAGAGCACCCCTTTGTTGAGTTTGAGCCTTGGATAAGCTTCATCACCTTTGTTATTGAGTTTTCTTTGGAAAGAATGAACCTTGATGCATGTAACAAGCTAAATTTAATAACTTAAGGGTGGGTAAGGTTAAAACACCTAGAAATGCATGATTGAACGTCTGGAAACCTTAAAAATGGGACCTTGGTTGGATATCTTCGCAAAAATGCAGAACTGCATTTTGTCGCGAAATATTCGGATATTGATATTCGGATATGGGGTTTTGGATATCCGGATATGGATATTCGAATATGATATCCGGATATGCCCCGACAAATATCCAAATATTCTGGGAATTTCGAGACAATAACTGTTTTGTTCTGACAGAATAGTATTATGGGTTTGTTGACCCATGATTGGTTAAGTTGAACCTCTGTAATGAAGAATATAAGTTAGAATCAATTGGATTAAGGGCTTATGGCTTTGTGAGAAGCCTAATGGCATGTGACGTAAAAGGAAAACGTTGTCTTTATGTCATAAACGTTTAGATTATGAATGTTGATATGATTGTTGGTATAAACAGACTGTGAGAGTGTTGTTTGTGGACCTTGGACTTGGTTGGACTCTTGAGTTGGATAGTTAGCTTGCGATGTAAGATTTCGTGTCCTCGATTTTGCCATTGTTGGTTTTACCATACCTAATGGAGGGATGGTTTATATGCATTATGTGTTTTCATGTATTGATATTTGAAATGCTATTGAGCTGTTAAGTGCAAATGCCTTATGATACGTATGTGTTGTTCCACCTAAACGGTAAGCCTGAGTATGTGGCATCATACAATATGGTGATTCTGTGGGTGGGTGCAAGTGGCGTCTTGCACTGATTGTAGGTTGTAGATGTATGTAATTCTTGCATTTTCTCCAGCCAGTAGGATTCTGACACACATTACATGATTATATGCTGCATTGCACAGATTTTGGAACTTATACTGTTAATTGTTTTAGAACTTATATTACACATGTAAATGAGCTTGGGGTGGAGAGATCCTTGAGGACCTCTTGTCTTACTGAGATTTCTTTTTAGAGATCTCACCCCACGTTTGGGGCACATTTTCAGGTTCAGGTACCTCGGGGGTTGATACCTCGGACGGCAGGAGGCCGGAGCTTAGTTGACTGATGTATGCATGTTTATGCTGATATGCTTGGATGCTGATTTATGATTGATTGTTATTATATTATTATTTGAGCTGAGACTATGTTGGGCTTTGTTGCCTTATTTGGTGAGCATGGGGGTTGTCCATGCCACATTGCTTTGACTTGTTTATTTAGAGTTGAGTTGTATAATTGTATCAGGATATTGTCTGGTCTACGTGTTGTAGTTTTGTGACGAGATACACACTTAATTATATCATGAGGTTATTCTATGTAGTTAGCTTTTATTGCAATTTACATACAGGCGATGTTTTGAAAAATGATTAAGTGATCAACTTGGTTAATAATAATGACGTCATAATTGAAAAGAAAAAGTTAGTTCCGCATTTTAATTAAGTAGCGCTTAATATGATGACATGATAACAAACCGGGTATACACGGGGTGTTACATGTATCACTTACTAGATTAAGTTGTTTGGTTGAATTAGTTATTTGACATGGTATTAGAGCCTTCCTGACTGCAGGATTATTAGTTCGATTCTTACCACCATAAATTTTAGTGGAATTAAGTCAGCACGAAGTACTATATGCTCTTAGTCCTAAAAATTGTCCCTTGATCTCTTATTTTATTTTAGCTTGTCATTTTCTTCTTGATTTACATTTCCAAACTTCTTTGTTATCATTAAATCAAGATAGGGTAATTAATACTATCAAACACATCAACCTCGAATCAATAAAATCTAGTCTTCGCTTTGATTTCGCATATGAGAAAAATATTTCTCAAGCTGATTGAGATAAATTTATCTCCGGCCACCCCAAAACTATATCGTTTTGATTTTTTATTTTCTTATATGTATTGATTCACCTTTGAATGATTATGATTTTCTTTTTTTCTCTCTTCCTTTATCACCATTGATCCATCTTTGTACGATTATGATTTAGTAGCTGGAAATAACTTTATTTCTGGCAGCTTGAGTAATGATAATATTTATATATATATATATATATATATATATTTTGATAAGCTAATGAATAAAGACCAACAACACATATTTCGCATATTAAACTACATAACAGTTGTGATATCGTGATTTTAGCATGCAATTGACTTTTTAACAAAATATTAAGAAGGATCTATTCGATTTACTAAAAATTAAAATACAGTAGAAAAAATTACATTTTGTTTGATTGATAAATGGGATATGTAGCTCTCATGTCACTGCAGATGAGAAAAAGTGCAGCAACACTTATTTTTTTCAGGATACGCGTGCAGTTTCGGATGTTTTTTTTTTAGATCAGGATATGACCACGTATCCTAGTGTTACAAATTTACTGCAACTTTTGTCATTAGCAGTGAAAAGAGAACCGACGAATCCTTGATAAATTAGTATAAATATCGCACAAAAGGCTTGTAGTCGTTTTCTTTTTCTCCAAACTCAGAAATGCACCTTTTGTGAAACTAAAATATAGTACGTTTGGTACAGGAGAAATTTTTATTTGTCCGAGAATCTCGATTTTCAAAAATATGATTTTTGCATTCAGTTTAGGATAATATCTGAAAATTTAAAATTTAAAAAAATTCAGTTTCCCGGGAATCCCTCAAAATCCCGCGCACCAAACGCCTTAGGGTAAAGCGTGTGTCATTTTAAAGATGTAAAGTTGTGTCATTCTAAGAGAGAGAAATAGATAGATAAAGGAGAAAATAAAATTGACAAAATAAAAATAAAAATGTGGGTCCCATTTTTTTGTGAGAGTAAAATGATAGAAGCTGTGTCATTTAAAAGGATAAATATTTTTCCTATTATTTTAACATGGCCATACAAAATATAACAAATATCGACGAAACATATATGGGTCCGTCGCTTCTCATGTGACTGCTGATGAGAAAAGTTGCAGCAAATTTTTAACACTAGTATACACGTGCGGATCTTAGGATACACGTGCGGATTCTATCAAAAAAAAAAAAAACTAGGATTCGGACGCGTATCTTGTGTTGCTGCAAGTTTTTTCTTCTACAGTTACATAAGAAGTACTTTCCCCAACATATATTATATTGGGTAAACCTTTTCTTACGTCGGTGGAGAGTAATTTTTTTCCTGCACAGCACTGACATAGTAAATTGTGCCTTTTTTTATATATAAAATGATGGGGCTTATTTTTTAGTGTCCGCTCGAAGTTTAACAATTCTACTACAAAAAGTTTGAACTCATTCTAACGTACACGTCTCTATTCATTCTAACACACCTGTCAAACATACAACAAATGATTGAGTTCGTATTAAGACTAAGAGTGTATTCTAATTTATAGAATAAGGTAAAGAGTAAATACTATTTTTTTTTTTATGAGCAAATTTTATTATACTCGCTTTATTCTTTAGTTAAATAAAAAGATTATTTATGATTTTTAAAAAATTTAAAATAAACTCGTTTAATTAAAATTATGATTTTCACAAATTTAAAAAAGATCCATATTAGTTACAAAAAGATTAAAATGAGTTCATTTTGAATTTTTTAAGACCACGAATAACCTTTTTATTTGCTAGGGACTAAAGCGGGTATCGTAAAATTTGCTAGGATCGAAAATGATATTTACTCTATGATAAATAAATATTAAAAAAATAAATAAATAAAATGTAACTGCCGGTAAGCACGAAGAAAATTCCCGATGGCAATTAAAAGCCACGGAATCCAAGTTCAAAGATTTCAATAACGAGAATATTCGTTCAATCGTTCCAGTGCATAAGAATTCTGAAAAACAAAATAAATAAAAAAAGTCTTATGCATCGAAAAGGAAAAACAATATCTGTATTGTAGGGATGTCAATTTAGCTTGAATTAGCCCATTTAACCTAATTCACTCTAAATTGCCAGATCTGGATCATAATTCGTTTGAAAATTAACTTATATTATCTTTATTGGTTTATATTATAAGATTAAAGTTTGAAAATATGAATTTTAAATAACTTATTTAATCAAATTGTATTAAAAAAGCTTAAAATTAATTATTATTAAGATAAATGTATATTTATTTTAAAAGATATTTAAATAAAATTTAGAAGAATTTTTTTAATATTTTTAATAATTAATTATGCCATTTTTATTTTAAGTTCGAAACCCAATCTGACGCACTATATCTTAATGAGTACTAAATAGGGTCAAATCAAAGTAGATCCACACCTTTTTTTATTTTAATATTATTAACTAAGCTCGCATGTTTTGTTTAGTTCTTCAGATTTAACAAGTTAAGAAACCCTTACGTTTTCTTTTATATATATATATATATATATATATATATATATATATATATTATGGTGAATACGTTTTCTTTTATATATTAATTAATAATATAATGTTTTGGAAAATAAAATTATTTCTTAAACATACATAAAAAGACGTAAAATTCATCTTTTTCTCTTCTTCTTTGTTTTAGGAATAAAAAACATCAAATCCAAAAATTAATGTTTAAATATATACATAAAATCTTATTTTTCTCCAAAAAAAAGAAAACTAATGGATAATTAAATATGAGTTAAGTTATTCTTATTTTTTTCTATCTTTATCTATCATTCTCCGTGACTAAATAATTAAATCAAAATCTCAATAAAAAAATGATAAAAATAATTAACAAATTAGAGAATAACAGATAAAAATAAATAGTAAAAAAAATAGATAAAATAACCTTTCCATTAAATATTCCATATATTCGATATTTTATTGACAGAGGAGAGGAGAGACTCAGAGAGAAGAAGAGAAGAAGAAGCAACAGCTGAAGAAGAAGCTACTTCGATCTATAATCTATTACTATTTGTTCTCAATCTCTGATAATTTCCTCTCTCTCTCTCTCTCTCTCTCTCTCTTTCTTAAAATCCATTTTCGCCACCATGTTTTCTGCAAACAAAATCAAATCCGTCGATTTTTACAGGTCGGAATCTCCCTATCGTCTACTTCTTGTTCTTGTTCTTTTTCTTCTTTTCGCTTTCAACTTTTTTCCTTCCTAATTCGCACATTTTTTGGTTTCAACTTTCAACAGTTGTAAATTTTCTTGCGGATACGCAGACTAGTTACTTTTTGCTATGAATTTTGTTAAATTTTGTCGTATTCATTGTTAAGCTCCAAATAAAACACAAATACTAGTGTATAATCAATGTCTGTGTGGTAAACGAACATGTTCATTATCTAAGTTGACATTAGCATAGGTGAATGAACGATGAAATATAGAAATTGACATGTGACACTTCGACTCGACAAAATTTGTGTCTCCTATTATGGTTTGAAGTGATTTGCTGTAAAAATTTTCAAAAATTTTGGGAATTTTATTGATATTGAATCTACCACATTTGATGTAAATTTGATGAATAATTTTTGAATGCCTGTGTGCCTTTTTCTTATTAATAATTTTGTTATGTAAATGTTGTTGACTTCTTTCAACAGAAAAATCCCGAGAGATTTGACTGAGGCGTCATTATCAGGAGCGGGATTATCCATTGTGGCAGCTCTCTCTATGATGTTTTTATTTGGAATGGTCGGTAGCTAAAACCTCGTCATGTTTATGACTTGTGGTTTTTTTAACATAATAGATGTATTCTAGATTGATATTAGGTCCTATACTGCTTATACATTAAATTATGATCTTCTTCTATTTAGTTTTGTCAAATTTCAATATTTGAATTGGTTGTTAAGTGTCATTTTGATGTTTATCTTACAACCTTGTTTCAGGAACTAAATAATTATTTGTCTGTCAGCACCTCTACATCTGTGATTGTTGACAAGAGTTCTGATGGCGACTTTTTACGTATAGATTTCAATATCAGGTAGAAGCATATGTAGGCATTTTCTGTCTTTGGTTAAATATGTTGTTTCTTGAAGGTGGTGGATGCTTACATCTTAAATATTATTTACTAATATATCCAAATTATTGGTGGCTTCATGGTCGTCTTGAGTCTTGATATGAACTGGGCGTACAGCAAGGAATGCAAGCTTCTGTCTACTTGTATTTACAAATTAAGGCTCTTGTTATGAAGAATGCAGAACTGTCTAGTAGAGAATTTATAAAACCAGCTTTTTTAGGATGTTGATATGTTGTTTGCTAAAGTATTAGTTAATTTTTTAAACAAGATGGTTTGTGTTTTGAAATTTTAAAAGCTTGAAATTATCTTATAGAAGGAAGAGAGATTAATAGTTTACGGTTAAGTCCTAATTATATTCATGAGGTACACTCTTTTCATACCTTTCCAGCTAATTTCCAAACTCGGTATCGGAAGACCTTTTGATGAAACTGGGTCTGCTTATCACATCATTCATTGGGAGTGGGATGGATCTGACAAGATGATCATTAACAGGCTGGGAGTCGAGATTGATTGTTGATGCTTAGTGATGCTTTGTGAAATTTATGTGAAGTCAAAGCATTGCTAAGGCAATACCTTCATTTCTGACACTGCATCAGTTTTTCTAAGAATTTCGAGTCCTTCCCAACTCATTTAGAGACCTTAGCTAGTCATAGTATTATTCTCAGTATATTAAGTTAGTATCATGGCTAGTTATAAACTTTATCTTCCTCTATCTCTTTCTCTATTGTTTCTGGCTGATGGCTTGAACTTATCTTGTAGTTTTCCTGCACTCTCATGTGAATTTGCATCAGTTGATGTGAGTGACGTGCTGGGAACAGTAAGTTTCTATTACTCCGTTTTCTTATGCATTTTATACTTGCTTATGCTATGATACCCTGTCTTGTTCCTTGATGTTTTAGTCCTTGTCCTTAACTTTTTTGACCTCTTATTTTCAGAACAGGCTTAATATAACAAAAACAGTTCGGAAGTTTTCTATTGATTCAAATTTAAGACCTACTGGCGCTGAGTTTCATTCAGGAACAGTTGCAAATGCTGTTAAGCATGATGATGAAGTAGATGAAGCATCTGTTGAAGGTTCTTTTTCACTCACAACACAGAATTTCGATAAATATGTTCATCAGTAAGTGGGAATTCGGAGATTGATTCATTTGATTTTTCTGTGTTTTAGCTGAATGAGAACTCAAGAATTATTTTTTCCTCCTTTCACTTATATTGCACAGTAGTTATGCATTGTTTACACCATTTTGCAGGTTTCCGATTACAGTTGTAAATTTTTATGCACCTTGGTGTTCCTGGTGTCAACGTTTGGTAAATATTTTATCCTGATTCTTGACCTCTTCTTCACTTCAGGAAATAATAGCGTACCTGATGTCTTTGTTGTTTCCTTAATAAATTGACCTTGCTAATTCCTTTTCAACAATGTATTATTGTTCGTTAAAAGATAAATCTCCCTTTAGGGACAAGCCATGTATTAGTGGCAAAGGCTAATTCAAGTGCTTAGTGCATCTTCACCAACAGTTACACTTTAATAGTGACTAATGCGAATTCATGATGTAGAAGATTAAATAATATGTCATGCAAAGGGTGCTAATAGCTGCATATCATCTGTCTATATAAGATTAATGGCCAATTGCTCAGATACAATGAAAGAATTGCGTAAAAAAAACTTTCTTTAATGGGTGATCGTGTGATTGATAGATTCTTAATTTGTTATATGAATTTATCTTTTAATCTTTTCTTTCAGAAACCTTCGTGGGAGAAGGCAGCTAAAATAATAAAAGAGAGGTACTTTATTATTGACTCAATAGTTTCTCACATTTCTTGAAATTACATTTGAGAAGGTCTACACTTTCATTTCTTTTGTGAAATTCGTAGTTATTTTTCCATCACTTTGCTAACTCAATGTCTCGTGTGTATACGATTACTATTTAGGTATGATCCAGAAATGGATGGGCGTATTCTTTTGGCAAAGGTAGATTGCACTCAAGAAGGTGATTTATGCAGGAGGTACTATTGCTAGTTTATTTACTTTTTTTTTTTTTAAATAAATATTCTGTTTCTTACATACAGTTGATTTAGTACCCATTTGGATGGTCTTTTTGTTAGCTTCTCTTCTCCTTATAAGAAGTTTGGCCAAACATATTTTTACAAAAGCTCTTATTGTAAAAAGAGTTTTTCTTTTTCTTTTTTATAACGAATAAAAAAAGAAAAAGCTAAAAGCTCCCAAGAAGAGCTTTATTAAAGATGTATGCCAGCCTTTTGGAGTTCTTATATTTATTTTTCAGTTTCACCCTTATTCTAAACTTATATTTACAAATTTTTCCCTTTATCCTAATAATTTATCTTATTAACTATTCATTTCATCTCTCCCCTTTCAAAACCCTAGGAATAACTTTATATAATCACCAAACGGCTTTTAGCTCTTTTTTTTTTTTTTTTTTTTTAGGTTAAAAGTTGCTTTTAGCTTAAAAAAATGCTCCAAACAGACTCCTCTATTTTTTTTAATAAAATTTGATTTTCTATTATTTTTAATTTTGGCCTTCAAATCATATATAGACAATGTTGCAAAATCATACCTTGAAACGAAGTGCTGAGATAACTATAAAGGCAAGGCTATTGTCTACCAAAAAAAAGGCAAGGCTATAATGCTGATGAACTTGGAGTGGAAAAAGAAAAAGGGTGAAGGGACACTTTGTTTATTTTGGCAGAAAAAAGAAGGGAAATAAAGTTTGTGGAAAGAAAAAGGCGGGGTAACTGCCATATACCGTGTTTGTTTTGAAAGAGAGAACATGGAGATAAACTCAAGAAATATGCATGGTTGGGCCGACGATTTTGGTTCTTGCCATACGTAGCAACTGCAATAGAATGATGTGTGATGGGAATTAAGGAGTGGATTTCTCATTTTTATCCTTATAATAACTTGAACCTTTCATCAATTTCTCTTGGTCATAACTTATTAGGTATTACGTACAGGAAATTAAGGCTGTGGGCTAGATTTTCCAAAATGCATATATGATGCTAGTAACATTGCAGGAGTACTTTTACAAGAAAAAAATGGAAGTAGGAGCGTTCAAACTCTTTGAAATTTTGAAATATATTTTGCATCCACCACAAAGTATATCAACAATAAGTCGACAATGAATATAGTGTAATTGCTAGCTATTACTTTATACCATTATTTATTTTGTAATTTTTTGGCTTGTGTTAATTCAAATAAAATATAGAGCAAAAGTATTGAAGTAGAAAATTTTGGGATGTTTTTAAATTAATTTTGACTTAAATTTAGAAACTTTTGCAATATATTTATTTTCTTCCCCCTCATTTTTATTCCGCTTAAATATAACAAGGAAATAATTGAATTCTCTTTATTTTTCATTCTCTCCATTTTTTATCCTGCCACTTTCTCTCCTTACCTTGAGTTAGATTCACATCGTGCTTATTAAATTTTAAAACAGTGGAGCTGTTTTTGTGTCAATTTACCTTTTGTAAGAAAATGAGGGGAAAAGAAAGGAAAGTATGTGGAATAAAAATGCGGTAGAAAATAGGTCATATGAATGAAGCGAATGAAAATGAAGAGGAAATTTAAAAATTACGTATTCAGCTGTAACTATTTTTGGTTGAGATGATATTTTGAGGGGGAATTTGCAGTTTTGGACCCCATAACAATATATTCAATTTTTTTCTCTGTAGTCTATACTCTATCTCCTCTTATGATGATATTGCTTTTGATAAAATTTAGGTTATATGTTATCCTCAATTCCCCCCCACTATATTCCTTTGTTTCCCATGTTACAAGGGAATGTGACTTTCACAGCTTATTTTCATTCCATACAAAAACATTCCCAACACTTTCCACCTCTTCCAAAAAAATTGTTAGTCTCCATAGTCCATACTATTCTCCTCAATATAGTCTATAAAAAGAAATGCATCAATTGTAACAGTTGAGAATAAATCTTTGTTTTTATACCTGATATTGGACATACTAGAATAAACCCTTTAGGTTAAAAGTTTTCAATTTCTTTTGTGCATGCTATGTCTTCTGTCATTGCTGACAGGAAATGCATAAAGAACCTTATAATCATGTCAAGAATCTGTATTGTAGTAAACAGATTTCATTAAATAAGTTTTGTAGATATGCTTTGCATAGTTTTGAGGAAAATAAACGCAAACACTTTCTTCAATACTTTCTAAATTGAGCATGAAATCACTTTTTCTTCATTATAACCCATTACTTTATTTGTCTTGGTTTCTTGATATTGCTATTGCACTCTTGTTATTCTCCATCTATGCTTCTTTTGCCATTTATCTATATCTCATTATCAATGTCCAGGCAGCACATACAAGGGTATCCATCTATTCGCATCTTTCGTAAAGGAAGTGACCTCAGGTAATAATATCAGTAGGTAAATTCAATGGTCCTCCCCATCCCTTTGCACCAAATGTTTGATTAAGAGTTCATACCTACATTGAATCTTTGAATTAACAATTATGTTTATACTATATATTTATGTTACGTATGATTATTAATTCAGCTATTATGCTGCATTGATATTGGTAAGCTATCCTTGTGGAAACCTTGTTATATACAGGTCTGGCATTTCAGATATTTCTTTTCCTTGACTTTCTGGGTAATAATGAATATGTGTACATCTGCATATCCTCTTTAGGGTATTATGTACTTGTCAATTATGTGATTATATTAAAATTTCCCTCCTATATAACGCTGTAATTTTTTTTTTCCTTTCATAAAATATGGGTAGGAACCTAAAGCCCTTATCTTCAATGTGTGTAGTGATGAAAGCAATATTAAAATCAATAGTAGAATGTGAGGATCAAAGTGATGAATTGAAATAGGTAGGATGCAAATGATTATATTTCATTGGAAAATGGTAAGTATAACATTTATTTTTTTGTGAAAACAGATATGAATGAGTTGATTTTGTTTAACTCAGATTTTATAAAAGAAAAGAAAAAAGAAAAGAAAAAAAAATCTCTTTCACATATTTCGGTTGAGAAAGACGATAAAATGAGTGTATTCCTGGAGCAGTTTACGAAAACAATGCGTGTTATGGAACTACTGTATTTCCTTTGGATTTGCTGAATATTTAAAGAGAAATCATATTGATGACCAATGTAGTAATTAAAGCTAACTTAGGGGAAGTTACCAAGATTTTACCTACTTGCACTTCTCAATGAATCAATTCCTAGTAGACAATGTGGAGTCTTTTCGAATGTTTGGTTCTTCATTGTATTTAGTGGTCTTATTTTATATATATATATATATATATATATATATATATATATATATATATATATATATATATATATATATATATGCACCATGCTGCTCTGTGACTGAATTTCTAAAGTTTTGGATTTTCTGATTGAATCTAGTTTGTTGAATGTTTTTCCTATTTCAGAAGTGACCATGGACATCATGAACATGAGTCCTATTACGGAGATCGTGATACAGAGAGCCTAGTCAAGGTTCACACTATATGTAGTTTAAATTGGCGTAATATGAATAATATTTAACTTAAAAGTAGATGTAATCAAACCTCACTTCGTTACCACCTGCAGACAATGGAGAATTTAGTGGCATCTCTCCCAACAGAATCTCAAAAGCTAGCTTTGGAGGATAAGTCTGATGCAGCAGAGCATGCTAAAAGACCAGCACCATTAGCAGGTGGATGTAGAATTGAGGGATATGTGCGTGTGAAAAAGGTAAACTCCCAAAGGGTTAAAGATTGACCTTAAATATATTTTATAGAAAACTGTCTTTGTTTCTTCGTAGAATGTGACCATGAATTAAGATGGTCTTACATTCTTCTGGAAGTAACTAATACATATGATTCCTTGCTCTCTTTTTTTTTCGATAAAAATCTTCTGCTTTTGCTAGAAGCTTCAGTTGTTAATACTACAACTGAAAATAAAGAAGGAAAATAACATGCTCTAGATTTTATTTTCAGATTTTAAATACATTATGTTGCAATATAAGCTGTTTTGCACTGTGCAGGTTCCAGGAAACTTGATCATCTCAGCTAGATCAGATGCCCATTCCTTCGATGCTTCTCAAATGAACATGTCACATGTCATAAACCATATGTCTTTTGGAAGGAAAGTTACACCTAGGGCCATGAGTGATGTGAAGCGCTTGATTCCTTACGTAGGTAGCAGCCATGACAGGCTGAATGGCCGGTCATTCATCAATGCTCATCGTGATTTGGAAGCAAATGTTACTGTAAGTCTAATATTTATATAAAAAACTTAGTATCAACTTTACTATTTGACTTTATATGATTGGTGTTAGAATTTTTAATGGGACGGGGTATGTTGATTGCCATTTGCTAGAGTTGGATGCTACAAATTCTACTTTACAATAGATACTATATACCAATTCGATGCCATTTTAGGATAGGTTTGGTCTTTTTTTTCCCTTCTCTTTTAGTTAGACAATCAACCTGAAAAAATTCTTAATTCATCTGGAAAATCATTGGGATACAATGTGGAATGCTTCTAGATTTTTACACTAACCCACCACAGAAATCACTGGCTCTCTTTGCTTGTTGAAGTTCCTGGGCCTTCAATTTTCTCAGCTGCTAAATTCACTTTGCAAAGCACAGATATGTGAGAGTGATACAAGGGCATGGCAGCAACGTTTTAAGTGTTCCCATTATAATTTTAGATTTTTTGACGAGGACATATCTCTTTTATTGAAGTGCCTGTCCTTCATATCACTCTTTGACATGTGCAAAGTTTTTGTACCTAAATTTGTTTGGATTTTCATCTTTATCTGAAGCATCCTGCAAGGAGACAGCTTACTGAAAGAAATTAATATGGAGTGGAGGCAATAAAACCATTTATTTGTTCACTCATTTGTTACACATTGCTATTTTATTCTCCGGAGATAACACAACTTCTCATTGATACAATCTGTTATCATTTTCATCTGATATCTGTGTCTGCAGCTAGAGCATTATATTCAGATAGTTAAAACAGAGGTAATAACTAGAAAGGGTTATAAATTAATTGAGGAGTACGAATACACAGCGCACAGCAGTTTGGCACACAGTGTAGACATTCCTGCTGCAAAGTTTCGTCTCGAGCTCTCCCCCATGCAGGTATTCATGTGAAGGATATAGTTTTGAATGAATTGGTGCTCTGCTTTCAGTAAATTTATAGTAGGTTTACAATGTTTGTTTCTGTGAGCAGGTCTTAATAACAGAAAACCAGAAGTCTTTTTCACATTTTATTACAAACGTCTGTGCTATTATTGGGGGTGTTTTCACGGTTTGTATTTGCTATTATTTCTGATATTTTGGTTCTATGCATGTATTGTTAATTATACTGTTGACAAGTCTTTCCTGTGATTTCAGGTAGCTGGAATTGTGGACTCGATTCTGCACCACACTATTAGAATAATGAAAAAAGTTGAGCTCGGCAAAAATTTTTGATGGATAGGTAAAAGTTTTGTATAGCGTAGGGCTTCTGATTTGCTATACCCATTTTCACTAGAGAGATCTTGTTGTAACAGTTTGTTCTCTATAGATGTGCTATTAATCATACAGATGTAATTTTCTAGTTGTCACTTCAGTAAAGTGATCATTATAAGGATAAGGATTATGATTTACGAGGTGCATAATGCATACTATATTTGCCTCAACTAAATTATTGTCTTGCTTTTATGGTTGAGAAAATAATTTATTCCTTTGGGTAGGTTGGAGTAGAGGTTGAGGAAAGAATTTTGATATTGAGTAGGAGGATGATGAATACTTTGAATTTAAAATTGGGACTAAAGTGATGATAATCAGCTATTACAACAGAATAGGTTCCTTTGCTGAGGTTTGTTTTTGTTAAAAATTACTCTAGAAAAAATGCCCTGGGGTCAAAGGAGTCGGTTTGCTTGAGTCGTTGATATTTGCTGTGTTTTTGAACGAAATCGATAAGCTGGATCCCTTTTTCTACAAAAGGAGAATGGGAGGAAGGAATGAAATGAAAGAGTTGATGTACTTGCCTCTTTTATTTTCTTTTTCAGCAAGACTGTCCTTGTAACCACTAGAACAGATGGTATTCGTTGAACCTTTGAAGAGTTCATTTAAGCAAAATAAAATCGCGAGCGAATGGTGCTTTAGAAAAAACTTGCACCTGAGTAATCCCGTACCTGGTGTTTTGAAAATTTTAAATTATATTGAAATTGTACAAATATGAGATGATATATGTATATATATATATATATATAGAGCTGGATACATCATGGAAAATGTTTGGCTTATACATTGACTAGATGAATCACATAAAAAAATGGCTTTATTTAATTTTAACATGTACAATATCTTGACATCATCAAGAAAGAAGCACACAAAAGAGTTTATTATTGTCAGCTTATATTTCAATCTTCACAAACAAATACCAAACAGCATCCCAACTTTGAACCAAAGACCCAGTTCAATAGTACTGAACTCAAAGTATAGGAAACAAAGAACAGAAAAAAAAATTGTAGGAAAAAAATTATAAAATCAATACTCGATCACTCATACATGCTTAGAGAGATAAAACTAGAACTGAAGCCATGAATGTTCCAACAGAGCTAGTAAAGCTGACAAAGACTGAAGCAGCATCATTAGGAGTATGAGGAGGAGGTTCACTGACAGGAGCTGGTGTTGGGTTTGACTCCATAGGTGGAGATTGACCTTCTTGCCCTGAAGGTGCTGGTGAAGGAGATGATGACTGTGGTGAAGGTGGAGAAGCGGGGCTTGTTTGGTTGGTGTTTGATGAGTTGCGGTTGCTTCTATCAGCTAGCACAATCACTGTTAACTTCTCATTTTTGAGACAGTTATCTTTGTTTCCACTTATGAAGAAGTGAGGCCCTGATTGGTTTAGTTTGAAGACAGTGTGGCCATCAGAGAATTTTGCATAAGGTGAACCTGTGTTGCAACTGGCATAGTCTTCACTCTTTACAGAAAGCACCGAGTCTTGGCCAGATTGGTAGTTGAACACTGCAATAAGCATATGTAAAAATTGAAATCTTAAGTCAATATTTTCCTTTATGTACATTTGAAAATATTGCACTTTTTATTATAGGGTCCGCCGCTTCTCATGTGACTGCTGATGAGAAAAGTTGCAGCAAATTTTTAACACTAGGATACACGTGCGGATTCTATAAAAAAAAAAAAAAATCAGGATTCGGACGCGTATCCTGTGTTGCTGCACTTTTTCTCTTCTGCAGCCACATAAGAAGTACTTTCCCCTTTATTATATTGCTTATTACAAAGTTTTGATATTTTACTCTAAAAAGCTTTAGGCATAGCACAAATTTGCCATCCTTTGGATAAGTATTACTTTGTTCATGAACATGTATCCAAAAACTTCTAATAAAAGTTTCAATTAGTAGCTAGAGGAACAAAGAAATATATTTGTCTTTTGTATTTATTTTTCATAACCATTATTTACAAATCAATGATAAATAAATAAAAAATTTATTTTGTAACCCAAAAAAAAATTCCAATAGTAGATAGAAAAATATATCATTCAATTTAGATCTAATTGAAAACATTCCAAATTATGAATAAGAACTCACCTAGGGAGTCTCCCATTTGGAAACGGCCCTTTTCTGCCCATTGATTGAAAGGATTAAAATTGGGATCACTTGGAACACTCCAACCCTTTTGGCCCCCAACTATGAATTCATAGGCAGCACCTTTATGCACCAACATCAGGAGACAGAACCAACCCAAGGCATGGATTGCTTTATTAGACCTTAAAATGAAGGTGGCCATGGCAGAGGGTCACAGAGCAATTATGAAGGGCAAGGTGGGTATTGCAATTTGCTTACACCCCAAATGCTAGAAATGTTAAAGCTAGAAGAATGACAGAAATTGAACTATCATCTGAAGTTTAAGTAGGTGTGAGTTGCATGTAAACTTTAAGAACTGTGGAATGGAAGCAATTGCAACTTTTTATTATTCTCCCTTCTGTTTGGGTTTACTTTGATTCTGGAGCAAAGCATAAGTTTACTTTCATTGTCTAGAGTATGAGCTCTTTTTGAATCTTTTCTTATAACTTGGTCTGTGGATTTGTGCTTTGCTTCAGTGTTATGAAGAATATTCATGTCTTGTGATATGGGGCTAAACTAGCTAATAGTACCCTCAGTTAATATGAAGCTTTTTTGGTACCTGACGGCAATGATGATTAAGGATGTGTCTGCATTGTATTTGGTCCTTGACCTATACGTGATATATTAACATTATATGCAAGCTTTTTTCTAGGCCTTCTTCGAGAACTTTTACTCTTTAGCCTTCTCTCCTTTATGATCCAATCTTCTTTACCAAATTTCATCAACTTTTTTAAGCAATGAATTTCACCAAATGCATTGAGATATACAGCAGTCAAAGTTTTCGTTTTCAGTCACTAACTCTAAAAGGCTTTGAATGTTATGGATATTTCAAAAGTTTATAGAAAGATAATCATTTGTCCGCAACTTAGTGAATAAATTAGCTTTTGTTATATTGGACTATGAGGTCAATATTTTCGTGAGAATGTATCGGAATAAGACTAGTGGAAAAGAAAAAACGCCAACGGTGAGAGAGAGAGAAAAGTGGAAGAGAAGTGAAAAAATAAATACATAAATAGTGATGAGAGCAACTCACAAATTAAAAAAATTGCACGTGGCCACAATGACCAACCCCCGTCATAAAATTAAAAAAAAAAAAATTGAGAGTAAGAAATTTTTTTTGGATCAATTAGCAGATTCAGAACTTTTTATGATGGGGGTAAAAATATTTTAATATTATAAATAAAGTACTTATAATGAAATATAACAGACATTGGAAAAAAAAAATTCATAATATTTTTTTTTACTCTTTTAAGAGTTTGATCAAAATTTATTCCATTTCAAATGACTTTGCATACATTATTAATAGAATACTTTCCAGCTTTTACTCTATTTGTATTAAATTAAACCACTTGTCTTGAGTTTTTTTGAATTTGATGTCACTACAAAAAAAAAAAAGCTATTTGTCACGGACAATTTGCGTCGCAAACTAGGTAAATTCCGTCACAAATAATATTTGCGATAGAATTTATAGGGGAACAATGTCCATCGCAAATAATATTTGCGACGTGGGTGATCAAAAAATCCATCGCAAATTGCGCTAAAAATTTTCTAATGCAAAATCTCGTAATTTCGATGCAATAAGCAGACTTGTTGACATTGTTATTCGATGGAGATCTTCGTCACAACATTCTATTGCAGATTTGCGAACTAAAATAAGTGGACAAAACATCATCACAAGTTTGAGTCGGAAATATGATTTTAATCTGTCACACATTTTCTGACAGAATTAAAAACCCTAAACCGCTGCAGAATTTGTGATGGAATCAGTAACATAATGTCGTCACAAATTTTTGCAATGGTCTGAACAATATCCATCGCAAGATGGCTCCCAAATTTGCGGCAAAAATTGGGAAGATTTTGTTGCAAATGAACGAATAATTTTTTTTGGTAATTGTTTAATTTCTATTGGAATCGACACAATCACACACACACACGATCGCGAATCAAAAAGAGAAAGAGAAGAAAGGTGATACAACGATTTATTCTGGTTTATCCAATGTGAGCTATGTAACACCCCGTTCTAGAACCGGTTTGTTAACATCGCATTATGATATTAAGCGCAGTTACAATCACATGGGTTCAATTAAAATCCGGATAAATTTTTCATTTTAAAACGTACCGAACTTATAATACCCAATTTCGTGATCATAACCAAATTACCTTGCGGAAACAGATAAATTAAGCTTAACATCATGTTCATTTTCCATTTTTAAACCTTTAATTTACTTCTTGTTTAGTTCAATACTTCTACTATATTGTAGGTTTCTTCATTAGCTACCTGTGGCTTCAAACCGTGCTCAAATCGGAGCACTGTAGCCCAAGTTAGGACAATTTGGAGCAACACAAGAGAGTGTTGGTCACAGGCCCAGCGCGCTTCAGCGCGCTACCGGGCGCTCAAGCGCGCGCTATCGGGCGCTAAAGCCTCCATCTGGGCGCTTAAGCGCACGGAGGCAGTAAGCATCAGCATTTCCAGTGTGGATGGGCGCTTAAGCGCGCAACAGGGCGCTCAGGCGCGCTAGCCTGGGCGCTCAAGCTCCCACTGGGACGTTTTAGCGCGCAGAGACAGAAGCATCTCCTCCTTCAGTGGCGAAGGGCGCTTAAGCGCGGACCAGGGCGCTCAAGCGCGCAACCCTGGGCGCTTAAGCCCCACCCTGGGCGCTAAAACACGAGGGGGCAGTAAGCCACCCAACTTTCTGCAGCAAGGGGCGCTTAAGCGAACGCCAGGGCGCTCCAGCGCGCAATCCTGGGCGCTTAAGCCCCCACTTGGGCGCTCCAGCGCGAGGAGGCAGAATGCATTGGCACTCGCAGGGGCAGCAGGGCGCTTGGGCGCGCTCCTGGGCGCTTAAGCGCGCTGCCAGGGAATTCCAATTCCCACATTTCTCAAGTCCAAGCCTAGGGGCAAATGCATCCCCATTACAAACCCCAATTGTCTATGCCCCAACTAAATCCTAGCACTCATCCAACCTCTCCTCATGAGATTTAGCTAGAATTTGGGCAGCATGACCTTTGTTTTCTCATCGTTTACCAATTTAAATAAAGGGATACCTAATTGATTTTCAGCACAACCAATTCAACAACTCAATACATCACAAGCATGCATATATTGAGTCTCAAGAAGACATCATTTACTTTACATATCCTTTACAATTCATAGAACTTAGCTTACAAAACACTATGATCATTCCCTTGGCTCCCATCAACAATAGGTGTAACCAAAGGCATGAGCATAGGCTAAGTTCATCCAATGAATCAAGATATACATATGATCATGGGCTTTCAAAATAAAATCCTATACATGTCAACTACAAAAGGCATGCATAAACTCAAAGAAGTGCCATATTTCATGCATAATCCAGATATGGCCACTTGCCACCAGAGGCTCCTGCAGCATCCTTACCTGAAAGGGGGTCCCCACAACACGGGGTGAGATATACGAATATATCCAGTAAACCAGGGGTCCTTGGAGCATCTCTCCACCCCACAGTTCCATATCAGTGTAATAGCAATAACAATAATAATGCAGTAAATACATATCTATGCAAAGTGCAATACATCTCCAGGAGAAATCCCTCGAGCTCTCAAGCTGTCCTAAGGAAACTCAGATGCAAATAGTCCTACTGGCCAGCTAACTACCAAGTATGATTTACGCATCGTCATGCCACATACCAACATAGGGAAACACCATCCTATGCCACACCAAATGCATACACATACGTATAACAAAGCATTACACTATTTTATTGCATTTATATACACAATCACCACCTCCACCCTTTCAGGGCTTGGTAGAACAGTCAAGGGAATTACACCCAAGGTCCGAAGGCTTACCTCAATGCTTCAGTCAACCTTTGTTCTTCACCAACAGTTTCAGCAATCAACTTTTACAAACATACACCTACACATGGTGTAATGCAATCAACACATTGCATCCAAGAGTATTTCATAACTATCAACCAAGCTATACAATTCATACCAAACATAAGCATGAACTCACCTATCCAATGGAGCTAATCAAGCTCCATAGCTTGCTCCAATGGTTGGTCTCTCAAGGTTGGCCCAATTGCCTCAATCCTAGACAACACCAAGGCATAATCAACAACCAACCAAACCAAACCATTTATCAACAATGCAAGAGATCCAATATCTAAGTGTCATATTCTTGCCATTTTCCAAATATACTCATTTAGCTATCTAAGCTCATTTTCACCGATTAAACGTCGTTCCTAGCATTTTTCACAACATGCTCTAAGCTCCATTCTTCCTAGAACATAGCTAATTCAACTACATTTCATAAAAATCCCAATTTACTATTCACAAACCCTAACTCATGCCAATTTCAAGGAATCATGAGGTTCAAGGGTTAGAATCTTACCACCAATGGTCACACAACCAAGGATTGATGGCTCCTCAAGCTTCAATGGAGGTAGAAACTCTCAAAACCCCAATTTTCACCAAAGGGCCGAATTTTTGAGAGGTAATATCTCTCTCCACAATGCTCCCCACTCAAAACAAAGCTAGGATTATGAAAGAGGGCGAGATTCTAAGCGATTTAGGCTTTTGAATCATCCAAAACCATCAAGGTTTGATCTCTCTCTCTCTCTTTCCCTTTTCTTCTTCCCTCTCTTCTCCCTCTCTTCTCTTCTCCTTTCTGGTTCGACGGGTTGGGTGGGGAAATGAGGGGTTCTTTTGGTGACTTAAGTCACTTAACATAGGTTAAGTGGCTCTAAGCGGGTATTGGTTCGTCTATCTATTTAACTCCAATAATTACCAAACTTTACCCAAAAGTCTGGAATATTATTCTAGGAATATTACTATTTTTATTTTTATATTTTGGGTACTTTTGCCAGTACCCATTTATACCCCTTAATTTTCACTGAGTACACTTTTTAACTCCAAAGTGACTCAGATTCCTTTAATTAAGCCTTATACTTAATTTCACTCACTAAAACATGTTTAATTAATTAATTACACTTGATTTACTAATTAATTAAGATGGGCTATTATAGTCACCCCACCTTTTAGCGATTTTGTCCGCAAAATCAAGAACGTACCTGTCCTTAAACTCAGGATATTGCCGGAGAAGCTCATCTTCCCGCTCCCAAGTGGACTCGTCAGGCGTCCTCCCTTCCCACTGGACTTTCACCATAGGAATAGATTTATTTCTC